CAGGGAGATAAATTTGTTATTACCAGCCCAAAATGGCGGCACGCCACTTAAAAGGATGTATAAAATAACGCCAGCACTCCACACATCAATTTCCTTTCCATAACTTCGCTTCAAAACTTCGGGGGCCACATAATAAGCACTACCAACTATATCGCGATACACCTTACCTGGAATTTGACAAGCAAAATCCGTAAAAATAGATTTTATTAAAATCAACAAACGAATAATTCTTCGGCACAAAGATTCAATTTTTTTCACCATTGCAACCTCTCCACCCAAAAACCTAATGACTTTCTCTAATAGCGGACGTTAAAAAAAATCAGGACTTTAACAAACATAATTAACTAATATACTTATAGCTAAGGGAGAAGAGAATATTTAAATTGCATAATAAAGTTTGCTTCATTTTCTTAAAGGTAAAACTCTTTAACACTCTTATACTCAGATGCAAGAAACACTAAAAGCGATCAAGAATGCTTCTAAGGCTATATTTGGTAACCAAATAAGCTAGCTTATAGCTTTATTTGGTTAGCTTATAAGCTTCATGTATTCAAATAAACTTTAAACTTCGTTTGGTAAAATGAGCTTTCTAAAAGAGTTCGAGCTATAAACTTCTTGCTTCTTTGAGTTATAGCTAATTTTAGCACACTTTTATCATATAAGCTAGCTCTTCAACTCTAAGTCATAAGCTATAAACTATAAGCTCGAAAATCACTTATAAGTTATAAGCTAGCTTATCAGCTGATAGGTAGTTTTACCAAACATACCCTAAGCTGATCGAACAGCCTCAACTTCCTACACATAAAGCACGCACTAATCGGGCAAACAAAAATGGATCAAACAACATCACACAAACCAAATTTCCAAATTTTTCTTTCTATTTTCCCCCTAAAAGCAAGACAAATTCTCATAGCAAAGCCATAACAAGATTCAAGAAAGTCACACACAAACCTTCCTCAATAAAAACAGACAGCCCGAAATCGGTTGCCTTCAAAATCATCGGCTTCTCATTCTTGCTCGATAGCAAGAAATTCTCCGGTTTAAGATCCCTATGCATCACCCCCATAAAATGGCAATGGTGCACCACATTCACAATCTGCCTACACAGATCGGCCGCAGCTTTTTCCGAGTAATGCCCCTGAGCAATAATGCTGTCGAACAATTCCCCGCCTTTACAAATCTCCATCACCAAGTGAACTGTCTGGCGATCTTCATACGCGCCTTTGAATTCGACTATATTCGGCTGCCCGCTCAAGTGCTGCATGATGTGAACTTCCCTCTTCATGTCCTCACGATCGTTCTTGCTCACGAGCTTCCTCTTGAGGATCGATTTGCAGGCGTAGTGGGCCCCAGTGGAGATTTCGGTGCAGGAATAGGTCACCCCGAATTGGCCGCGGCCGAGCTCTTTGCCGATGGAGTATCTTGATTTTACTTCCTCGAAGGGCTTGCCGAGGATGTTGTTGGGTTCTAGCTTTTGGGCCGGCGGGGTTTTGGGAGGAGAGTGGTGGGTTTGCGGCGATTGGCGGTGGTGGGGTTTTTCCGGCGGCGGCTGGGCTTGATTTTCTGATCGGAAGCCATTGGAAGGGGCATCTGGGGTTAAGAACTTGTTCTTGCTAAAACATCCACCCATTTTTTTTTTTAAACCCTAATGGAATCAAGCTTGCAACTTTATGAGATGATTATCGGAAAGAAAAAAAAAAGGCCGGAGAAGTGGGAAAAGGGTAGAATCTTGACGGGGAGGAGTTTCTTCTTCTGAGGCAAATCGGTGAAGAAAATATTCAAACTTAACGAAGAAAAATTGGGGAATTAATGGGGGGAATAAAAAGGAAAATTGGGATGAAATCTAGAGTAAGATTGTGATTTGTGATTGCAAGCAATCAAAGCACACGGGATTAAAAATATGAAAATTGCGAAGAGCTCTACAAATTAATGGTGATTTTCCTTTCTTTCTTTTTTCAAGATGCAAAATCAGAGTCTAGTTTTCTTTTGGCTTCCTGTGTATTGACTTCACAAGCTGAGTTGGCTGAGATGGTAAAAATACACGTTTTTGGCTTATTTTCCGGCTTTACTTTTCTTTGTTCATATTAAGTTTTAATTTCCATCATATTCCACACTAATTGTGATTATTTTATTTTTTCTTTTCTGCAAGTATTGTAAATAAGATTCGAGGAAGGCTAACGTTTGGTAACAAAATAAGATAGGTGATTGAACATGAATTTAATTAATAAAAAATTAGTTTTTTTTAATTATAGTTAATTTGAAAATATGTGGTATGATTAGTTGTTAGTGGATATATTAAAATAATATTTAAAATAAAACAATTAAAGTTGATTGATGTAAAGGTATGAAAAAATGATTGGAAATGATGGTTAGTTAAAATTATGTGAGTCGATTAATAGTGAATTAAAGTTGATATGATGTGTAAAAATGAATGACTGATATTATTTAATTATATTGATGATATTGAAGATAGTGAAGTTGAGTTAAAGTTGAGTTTTGATTGATTTATTTTGTTATTTTATAAGTTTTCTATATTCAATAAACTTCATTTCATATAACGAGCTTTTTCAAATAGATCAAGTTATCTCATAAGCTTTTTTTAATAACTTTTCAAATAAACTGGTTGAAATTTTAATTTCAGCTTATCAACTAATTTTACCAAACAATTTTATTATACAAGCTAACTTTTCAGCTATATAAGTCATAAGTTATTAGCTATAAGCTCGAAAATCACTTATAAATTATAAGTTAGCTTATCAGCTATCATCTAACTTATATTAATAGTATCCTTTATACAATGTTTTTTACCTTCCTTAAAGTACATTTTAAATATAGTTTACTTATTTTAGATACATTTTAAATATAGTTCCCTATGATAAGATCGAAAAAAATCTCTTTAAAGATGTAGTTTACTCAATCCTTAACTTCTTGTAAATTGAGATCATAATATGTGACTCATGAACGATCTTAACATGCTCATGATCGATACGCAAACATTTTTGTAATGGGCAGTTTTCATTGCTTTTTGTACTAATACTCATTACTTTAATTTAAGTGTGTTTTTCTCTAGGTGATTTGCCAGCCCATATATAGAATTTGTTGCTTGTCAGCTCTGGGAAAAGATGAATATAAAATGCATTTGTTTAATAACCTTCCTATGATTTTTTTCAACATTATCCTTCATCTTCAATCATGATTATATCCTTAAATCATGGAGCAGACGAGTAAAAGTTTATTTTTAATTATTTGCTTCGTTCTTGGATGGAATCAAGATTTGTTATTTTCATTTGGAATGTTATTTTAATTTCTAGTTGTCTTTTGGAGTCTGGACTAGTGACTTTATAGAATCAACCACCCACCCATATTTAATTATAATTACGCGTATTTTTATCCAAGCAAATGGAATATAAAATGCAATGTCAAAATGAGAGGAATAACTTAATTTCCGACCCATAATATATGAAATAAGCATCAATTTTTGTTAACAGAAATGCATATTTAAATAAAAAAAAAAAACGAAATAAGCATATATATTGGAAAAGCATATCAAGCAGCCTTGCTTTGAATATAGAAATCAAGGACCCAAACACAGTTAACTATATTTAATGCTCTTTGGCTGATAATTATTCTGATTAATAATAAATGTGACTCAAATATGCAAGAAGTTTTAATGAGTATTGCATTTTAATAATACTAAAATTATAATATAATCCTTCTTCTTTAAATAAATAAATTTATAATTTATAATACACTCCAACTTATTGATTTTCTTGATGCTGCAAAAAGTAATTACAGTTCTATTGGGTCTTATAATTCGTTCCATAGTCTAAATCAATATATTCTTGTATTAATAATTCGCTCCTTGTTCTAAATCAATATATTCTTTTATTAATGCATGATAGTGTTTATAATGATGTTCGGATCATAATGCATCTAAGTAAAACAAATATGAAAATAAAATAGCTGATCCCTATATTCAATGAAGGCAAAAAGTCAATATTTGACCTGTATGTTTCACTACCTAATTTTTTCGTCCTTTTTTTATTGTGTTTTTTATTTTCGTCCCGTATGTTTGCAAAAAAAAATTACAAAAATGTCATTTTCATACATAAGGAACGAAATTGGAATATTTTTTTGCAAAACATAAAGGACCTTTTTGTTGCGAGAAAAACATTTTTGTAACTTTTTTGCAAATATATGAGACGAAAGTAAAAAATACAGTTCGAAGAGGACGACAAAGTTAAGGAAGTGAAACATACATGATTAAAATTGCATTTTACTCTAAAATCCACTAACTTCCCCGAGTAATTATGCTCGGCCCATCTATCTAGCCCATTTCGACCAAGTGTGAATTTTCTTGTTTTATGGGCCATAAAGATAGGCCCAAATTGTGAACATATTTTTTAAATATTTTTTGAAAATTCAAATTGAAAAAATCAATGTAATTAATATATACAATCATTTTGGTCAAATATTGATTCTATTACCTTTATTAAGCATGATTTAAATTTAGTATATATATATTAGCAATATAATACATATTTGGTATACAGTATATAATATATTGCGGCAAAGAATGTTCCGTTTGCCGGGAATTGGTAGCTTGGTGTCGGCGGAAATATTATCGCTCATCTTCAGATTTTCGATGACAACTTCTTGAAATTAATGAAAGGGCTACAACGTTTGGAAAGGGATTCTGTAGAGAAAGGGTGTGAAGTGTGGGTTTTAAACGGACGGCTGAAGGCTGCGGCTGCGGCTGCGGCTCGGAAACCTTGGAGGCCAGCGAAACTCGACGGCGGCTTGGCGGGTTGGATTGCTAATGGGATTATGGTTTGACAATTACATCAAAGTTGATTGTGTGTTCAACTGATTTGGGTATATGCTGATATTTTTATAATATTTATAATATATATTAATATATTAAAAGGTTTGTATTTACCTGAAAAATAATTAAAATCTCGCCTAAAAATTTAAAAGGTATTAATCTTGATAATTTTGTTCACATTTTTTTGGAAAACCCCGCCTTTGCATCATTAAATTCGAATTTCAAAATACTTTTAAATTTATTTTATGGTAAATTTCAATTATGGCAATTGTGGCTGAATAATTAAAGAAATAATAAACAAATAAAAAATTCAATTTTTAGATCCCTTAACTACTCAAATAGTAAAATTTATGGAATCTGTTAAAAATCAATTATAGTAATTGGGCTAAATAATTGATGAACTAATAAGCACATCAAAAATTATTTTTTAAGATCCATTAACTTCTCAAACTGTGCTCTTAATTAGGCAAATAGTTAACCCATAATATTATTTCAATTAATTGCTACTGAAATTAAAATTCGTTAACTTATGTTTGATGATTAGATTCTGATTATTTAATATCACCAAAACAGTAAACTGATTTCACTTGTTTATGTTTAAAAATTAAATGCAAGGCTACATAAATAATTGATCTATTAATATATAAAGAGTGAATGATATTTGTTAGAAAAAATCAACTAAAAAATCAGCAAAAAAATATCTCAGTTTCCGCCTAAAATTTCAGAATTACTACTTATGATAAATATTTTGACAAAAATTGAAATATACCGCCTCTACCAAATCTGTTTGAATTTTTCAGAAATTTAAAAATATGATCTTCCTAAAAAGTGGGAGAATATCGATGATATATGCTATCAGATTAGTTTGACCATATTTTTATAACTAAATAACAATCTTAAAATTTTGGAAAGAATATCATTTGATTGTTGGACTCTTTCAAATATTGAAGAACTGGAATACTAATTTCACTCTTATCAGAGCCCTCCCTCTCCCTAGAAAACCTAATCCCCAAATTTGCCGTCTCCTCTCCTCTTGCTCCATCGCTTTGCCTTCCTCAGGGACGGCGTGGCTCCGGCCGGTGGTCACCCTCGACCGCTCGGCTGACCGCGCGTCGCAACGCGGCAAAATTATAATTTATATTTTCCTTAACCGACTTCTACCAACTAACAGTAGTAGTGAGCAAGGGTCGAACCCACAGGGAGTGTGGAATTTAATTGTAATTATTCTCTTCAATTGAAATCATGAAAATACTAATAAAAGAGGGAGGTTTTGGTATGAATTAATTAACTACTAGAAATATGATTAATAGAATGAAATCAAATGCAGCAAATAAAGATGATTATCAAATAAATGGAGAAATATCTAGTCCACGGTTCCGTCTACACCCTCGACTGACTCGTTTAATCAATTTTAGAATCAGATTCCGCTATCTCATAGAATTACTAGGCCTAGGTAACAACACGGTCTGTTAACGAATTTTTCCTTATTTTTAATTTAACCGTGAGACGCTTCTCAAAATCTCACTCAAAAGGTGCTGAGTTGGAATCCCATTCTAACTAAGGATTCTTGTGGTTCCGGAGGTTCCAGCTACAGGAGAACCAGGAACGGGGAGCCCTCCCCCCTTTTCCACCTGACTCTTTGGCCTTAAGAAGGCTGGTTTTAGGAATGAGTGATTGCCCTTCTTCGACCCTTACTGCCCAACCTGAGACGGTTAAACCTGACTTCTTGTACAGTCCGGAAAAACGTTTTCAAGATTTAATACAATTAGCCGCTTTACGAATTAGAAAAATAGGCTAGACTAATTAGTGAACTCAACCGCGTTCGTTCGCTTAATTAGGCCGTGTTATCCCCGGTAGTTACCATCTTCCGGTTACCTCTTATGAATTAAACACAACAACAATTACGGTTTGCAGGTCTAATTCAGATGTAGATATGAAAAGCCTAATCTAGGTGATCAATCTAAACAAGATTAACACAACATGGTGAATTATTCAAAATAACACAAGCAATTCCTAAAAGATATTGAATTCATCAACCATATAAATTAATCAAAACATAGTCAATCGTAGGGTTCGACTTCCCCGAAACTAGAATAAAAGACTACTCACTCACAATATTCAATAACATGTTCAAAGAATTAATTACACAATAAAAGAAAAAGAAAGAAAATTAAGGAATTCTTCTCTAATTCTCCAAAGCTTCTGTCTTGCGATTTGCTCCAGCCCTCTGTCCACGCTTTCTGTCGCAGCCGCAATCTCCAAGAATAATAATCCCCTCTACAAGTCGAAGTCCTAATCTCTTTATATTCCTTATCTTTTGCCACGTCTTTCCTTATGTATTCCTGGTCAAAGTAATCTTCCTCTTCTCATTATTAGGCCACTATTTCAATATAAAATATCTGGGCCCAATCATATTAATTTCCCAGCACGTGAAATACATGGGCCTATTGAGACAGTATGGGACGCTGCTGGTCAGTACTGGACGACCCCGTATTTGCTGATAACACTTTTTCGTCCTTCTTCCGAACATCCACACCTCATCGTGCAACAGAAATAGCTCCAAAAGTACTGAAAATCACTCAAACACTCATCAAAGCACGAGAGCTGATCATAATTCAAATAAGTCGAAAGATGCGTAAATGTGGGGAACTAAACGTGCACAAATGTAATATTAGATGATTAAATGCAAGCACTTTTCTCGACTAATCATCGGCCCATCCCTGAAGTTGTATGCCTTTGATGTCGTCGTGGTTCGTCTGAGATTGGAGTCCCCAAGCACAGTGCGGGTCTGCGGATGGAGATGGTGAGCCCTCAGTCTGGTAAAGATTTCAAGTTCTGTAAGTCATTGTTTTTGTTGGTGAAATCTTTTTGGTAACAAATTTTGAGATTCTTATTCAAAAAATGTGTCAATTATTTATGAAAACAATTCTAAATGCAAATTAATTTAAAAACCGTGCAAATTGGATACAAATTTAGGAAACAAACAGTTGTATAATTCTTAATCAATTCTTCCAATCTTATTGAATAACTTTTTTTCTTTCAAAAAAAGTGTGTAAATTGGATAAAACCACGTGCAATTTTTATTTTAAAATAAATTTTATATTTGGATGGGATGTACATTCAAAACTATGTCCACATTTTTTGGTAACAAAAGCAGTTTATCTTTGATATTTAAAGTCACCTTATCCAATTATTTAAGAAAAATAGTGTGCAACTTTTCAAAATTTAAATGCATCGATTTTTTTTGGATTCTTATGTTTTTTCTTAACCATGTTTTACCGAGATTTTGGTAAGTTCGTATCATTTTTTTTCTTTTGGGTTAAGTTCATATCATTTCTTTAGGAAAGAGACAGCTGCATACACATTAGCAAATTATTTCAATTTTTTATTTGAATTGTTTTCAATTCAATTTGTTTGGTAAAAAGAAAGGTGCAATGTTAGGAAAATTCGGTTACATTTTTAGGAAAAATTGATGATTTTTTTTTTTGATTTAGAAAAATATTCAGATCAATTTGTTTGATAAAAAAAATCGGTTTATTGATAGAAAAATCGGTTTCATTTCCAAGAATAACTGATTATTCTTTTCAATTTTTCTTAATTGAAGTTTAGAATTAGATTTTAAAATAATTAATGGGTGAAAATCCCTAAAAATTTCTACTTTTTTTTTCTACTACATTTTGTTTAATAATAAGATCCTTTAATTTTTTAAAAATTTGTTAACTAATAACCAATAATATGCAATTTTAGATAAAATTCGAACATTTATGTAGTACCTTACGTGCCAAAGAATTAAACTAATAATGTTTTACATAAGAAAGTGTTTAATAATATATAAATTTTATTTTCATGATATTTTTAGTGTCATGAGACAATTTAAATATAAAAATACCTTTTAAAAAACAAATAGGTAATAAATGCTCTCGTGCATCGCACGAGTACCGTACTAGTTAATTATAAATAGATATGGAAACGATTCGTGGTAAATAAATAATGTGTTCTTTCTTTTTCTATTTATCTTGGATTAGCTAAAATATAATTACAAAAAAACATATACCTCAACTATTTTATTAATTGTTTGCTTTTCTAGTAGGCTGACTTTAGAGCTTTAGTTCTATCATAATTGTAGTGGTTAAATAGAAATATTGTTTTGTATTTAACCAAGAAAACGACTTATATGACGATTTGAGATGCCAATCATATCAGATTATCAATCCAGATAATGTTACTGTTGGAAAGAATAGAAGGGACAGTTGATATAATTAATGGTAGGATCAAGACCTCCACCCAATGCACAAAGTACAAACCGCAAAATTACTTCTATTTTTACATTTTTTTTAGGTACTGTTTGGTTACAAATAACCATTGTTTTTTCAGTTACCAATCACATCTATTCATAATAAGTCAAATACGCTGCATGAAATAGAGATTGTTGGACCTGTTATACATTTTGAACACAAATTAATATTTTTTATTTTGAAATATTATATTTTTGTTTGTATATATTTTGTCAAAAATGTTATTTCAATTTGAAAATATATGATTGTCTAATGACTAATAGTGATATGAGATGATAAAACATATGGAAGATAAACGTACTTATAATGTAAGAAAGATATATGTGCCATTGAATATAATATGAATTTTCGAATACGCTCAATACAATGTCTTAGATGCCGATATAAATGTCTCAAACAGTATACAATAAAAGAAATAAATAAAGAAGCAAAGTATGAAATACTGAAAATTATAAAAGAATTAAACGGGGTACATATAGTGGACTTTGTATTCTTAATTATTTTCAAAAATATATTACAATAGCGACCAGGAACACCTTTTGAACGAACAGACCAACATTTGTCTTCTACACGTACCAAATCAAATAGATAGAGTTGTCTAACAAAAACCTTATTATATGTTTTTAAATTGTTCAAAAATTTACTATTCTATATTTTACAAAATATATAATTTTCATTTATTACTACGAGCTTTAAGAGCTAAGAGCATAATAATG